GAAAACAAAAGGTTAGACAAGAATCTTGAGAGCTCATTTCATACTGAAGTTAGAATATTGTGCAACATTCGTCATAATAACATTGTGAAGTTATTGTGTTGTATCTCCAATAATGATTATATGCTCCTTGTCTATGAGTATTTGGAAAACCATAGCCTTGATGGGTGGCTGCCCAAGAAAAGCAAGCCATCATCTGTGTCAGGTTCAGTTCATCATTTTGTCCTTGATTGGCCAAGGAGATTGCATATAGCCATTGGAGCTGCCCAAGGTTTGTGCTACATGCATCATGATGTTTCACCACCTGTTGTTCATAGAGATGTGAAAACAAGTAACATTCTCTTGGATTCTCAATTCAATGCAAAAGTTGCTGATTTTGGTCTGGCTAGGATGTTAATCAAACCAGGGGAACTTGCCACCATGTCAACTCTGATTGGTTCATTTGGCTATATGGCTCCAGGTGAATGACATTTCAATCTTATTTTTGTTTCCTTACAAACAAATATATTAAAAACAAATCAATTTCTTAAACCCCGATATGAGAGGGTGGGATGAGAACAATCCTTATACACAGTCTTATTCTTGCATATTTGCAAATAGGTTATTTTACGGAGTCAAACCCCATAATTTTTCAATCACAAAGAAACAGTTTTAGCACTACTCCAAGTTTGCCATCTATTACTAACAAATAAATTTCTTAGTTAAATTCAATCTATCTATTTTTTCATTGGCATAAGTTTAATCTGAATTTGTTTTGTCACATTTCCATTGCAGAATATGTTCAAACAACTCGAGTCAGTGAAAAGATTGATGTCTTCAGCTTTGGAGTTATCCTATTGGAACTGACAACTGGTAAACAAGCTAATTATGGTGATGAGCACTCATCTCTTGCAGGGTGGGCTTGGCGCCACATTCATGAAGGAAGCAATATAGAAGAGCTACTAGACAATGATGTCACGGAACCAAGTTACTTGGATGAAATGTAACGTTTTCAAATTGGGGGTCATGTGTACTTCAACACTTCCTGCTAGTAGACCTTCAATGAAGGAGGTCTTGCAAGTATTGCTCAGTTGTAGAGAACCATTTGCTTATGGAGAGAGGAATATTGGCCACTATGATGATGTTCCTCCTCTTAGAAATTCTAAAAGGGAGCACATGTTGAATGTTGATGATGACAGCTAGCTAAGTATCATGTTAGAGTCAGTGAAACACAGCCACATGATTACAGATTTAGAATATCATTACTGTATGGAACATGACATAAAATAGAAGCACCTTGTAACATGTAAATGCATTTGGGTCCTTAGTCCATTAATACTTGTGTCTTTTAATAAGATAATATTATATGTCATATTTTGAAGTTTTTTGAGAGTTTATGTGGAAAAAAATCAGATCATTTAAATATAACGTTCTTGAATTCCAGGCTTGTCCTCTCAAATATAAGGTACTTAATAGTCAAATATATATTTCTTAATATTTAGCAATCCTTAAATAGGCAAATCTCACTTGATAACCCAACAATCTTAAATGACTGAAATCCTGAAAATAATTTATTAAAAATACCCCAAAAATGCTAAAAATTTCAAAGCACAATAAATAATCAATATGTTTATATGCTTAACAATCCTAATATCCACATTGTATTGTTTCTTACATTGCTGGCATAATATTTTTCACAAGTTTTGGCTTATTTAACGCAGTAATTACCGGTTTATTGTCGGGTTTATATTCTTTCACTTAAAGCCCAATTGGACCCGATGAGTGAGAAAAGTTTAGAAAACCTAGAGCCCAAATAGCTTAAGGTTAGAATTTCTTGATACTCATATATATTTATATACTTAAATTTTATTTTCTTTTTTTTCCAATCTCTTCGTATTTATCTTTTATTTGGGTTCATCTATCACCAACCCTAACTAGTTTGGAATAAAAGTGTTATTGATGTTGATGTAGAAACCACTCGATCCTCCCCATTATCACTTTTGGGAGGAGTTTAAAGCCTTAATTCTGGACACGTCTCGAATCGAACTAGTCGCGAAGCAATGAACCGATTGAAATATTTCAAAAAAAATAAAATAAAGCCACTAGCCTTTTTATGTCTTTTCGTATTTTTATTCATTTTAGACTTAGGAATTGGAAAGTATTAAGTTAATGTGGAAGGAAAATGCATTTCATCTTAGGGGCATTGTTCCCTTGGAATAAATCTTTGGTGCTACTGTTGCACCTAGATTCAGTGCTTCCCACCAATGGGAGCATTACATGTCACAGGAGAGAGAATTTTGGTTGACATGTAATGCTCTCATTGGTAGGATACACTGAATCTAGGGTGCAACAGTAGCACCAAAGATTTATTCGTTCCCTTGTAGCAACCATTCGGGTAAAAATCACGTTCAATCCAAAGTTGAGACCTTGTCCATGAGTGTTTGGCTCTAAGTCCTCGGCGTGAATAAGGGGAGTTGATTTGATCTTGGTGTGTGACTGTGAGGTACGAGGCAGTTACTCTCATTTGGAATTTTGGGCTAACAACCCAATTGAAACTTTCAGTGCTCTTTATGATTCTTTGACGGATTGGTCACACTAAAAAAAAGAAAAGAAAAACCACTTTCCTTAAAAATAAAAATAAAAATAAAATTGCATTGGACAAAATCTTTTTCCATAGTGACGCTACATCATTGTCTTTTATGGTGGAATGTTAACGCGATGGTCTACTTTCAACAAAGGTGAGCGTGCTGTTTCCAAGCAAAAATACCATAATATATATGCTGTTAGAAAGAAAAAAGGGAAAAGTTCATAAATCGATCCTCGTGTACTCTTATATTATATACATTCCTGTATTTTTTTTCTTACCAATTATTTTTCTGTATTTTTTTATTTATCCAAGTTCATTTTTAATATTATTAAGGGTTGTATGAGTATAATGTTACATGATCCATAAAACTTTTCTATCTACACAATTAAGAGATGGGATCCACATATTTTTTTTTCTCTTTCATCATTTCACTTTCTCTCTCCTCTTTATTGTAAGTGTAGAAAAATTTTCTTACATTATGCAACATTATACTCATTAAACCCTATTATTAATAAGGGAAAAACATCTATTCTTTTAAAGGATATAAGCTTATATCCTTTTAGATCCTAACCGTTGATTTCCGTCCATCAATGGTTATAATCTATTGGTCAAAGTTAGTGGGCCAAAATTAATTAATAATTTTGATCCAATAAATTATAACCGTTGATAGACGGAAATCAACGGTTAGGATCTAAAAAGATATAAACTTATATCTTTTGAAAGGATAAATGTTATTCCCTATTAATAATTAAACTAACTTATCAATTTTATCCTTATTAAATATTTTGTTTATCACATGGGTTGAAATCACAACTATTATGGACCTGACAAAGGCCCGTATTCTAGAAGGACCAATAAAGGATAGCACTATTTACAAAAAAAATAAAATAAAGGACAACACAAAAGGAAGGGAATCTCCTATTGATGACAATCCTATCCAGACAGCTAAGCAGTTGGACTTGGGCCCCAAATATTCCTGAGAGGCCCAGAATTACACTCCTTCAGGTAACCCATCTATAAATACAGGGTTAAACCAATAAGGTACACACACTCTCTAAACTCTCTCTCTTAGCTTGTCACTGTGCACACACCCCACGCCTTGATCATATCGATTATTATTCTGCACAATGATCAGCCTACCCTCAAGGGTATCTCATTCATAGATACTCGAGAGAGGGCACCTAGATCCTACATAAAATATACCAGCCACCGGTTGGACATCTCTGTCTTTGAGACAGAACATTGGCGCCGTCTGTGGGAACCGTAAACTTCGATTCCCACCCAACAATGGTGAAAGCGCAACAACCGCCGCCACATCCAAATCCTAATACGATGAGCGCAAAGTACAAAAATAAGACTCATCAACTGTTCGAGGCCGATCACAGTTCGTAATTGTTTCAACAAACATGATGAAGCCGAGATGGTGTTGAGATCGGAATTATGACCACTACCGTTGTCGGGATCATGGTCGAGATCGAGATTAAGACTGAGAACATAGCCGAGATCGGGGCTAATGAAGCAAAGAACAAAAAAACAGGTTGGGAAAGTTGATTGTTATGGATACGTTTAGCACTGCAATCACAATACCAACAACTACATCAAAATGGCATCCCGAAGCCATACAAGACAAGATTCTCCGAGATCGAGATGGCACCTACGAGGCACCATGGCACATGGGCTAGAGCGTGCAAATTTTTTATTAGTCTTGATAAGAATTGGGGTTTATACCTGGTGACGAGTTTCGGTTGTGATGCTGCACATTCTGTGTCTCATGGTAACTAGTCACCATTTGTCACCAATCTTCAAGCTCCTCTGCTGGTCCAATTCTTGCCATGATTTCTTCCTTTGACAAACAACTTTCAAGAAGGGTCGTATAGCTTGTGGTCAGCCCAGCACGACGAGGAATGGAGGTGTCAATTGGCATGAGGAGAGATGGAGCATTGACTGGCAAACATACTACTTCGACAGCAAGTCAAATTGCACAGTTTGAATTACCTCTATCATAATCTCTCTCTTTGTCTTATTTATTGTTATGGCATACAATCTTACGTGTCATTCTATGATTCTAAAAATTATAATATAAAGCAAAATATGTGTTTGAGAAGATAAGTCAAACAAAGAAAAATATCAAGAACTAGGATGTTTGGTGACGCCTAGTACCTTGGCATTCACAATGGGAATGATAAAAGAAATAAATACTAAGATATTAATCACACTATCCGGTGCTCATATTTTTGCTATATTTGGTCCTGCATATTATTATCATCAATGTTGTGTGGCGGCGAGGAGCATAATAAGCTTCCTCGAGGTGCAGTTTCCTGAACTCAACTGCTACACAAATGATAAATCCTTTGGTTCAGTAAGAGATGCAAAATGAGGCTTGATCATTATAAGAGATTAGGAGCTAATAGATCCTTTGCAATTTACAACTGATAACATGAGGTGAAGTAATAACCTCAGACTAAAGAAGGAAGTCCATGGCCTTTCAGATGGCATCTTCAATGATTTATTCTTATAATATTGAATATTATCATTTGTTCTTGTTGAATCACTTGAAGGCAGAAGGTTGACAAGTCTACCTCTGTCATAGACAACAACTCATTTACTGGGTTTTCCAAGCCTTTTGTTTCATATTATTTGATTAAAAATAACTGCTACACTGATTGGTTGTCTATGTCTTTTATTGATATGGACAAACCATACATAACATACAAGCAAGGGAACACCGGCAACCAGGCTGTCAAAGACTGTCAGTAATTTAGCAGCTCGGCATACCATTAGAGTCAAGATATACCATCCTCAAGGAAAATCAAACCAGGAAAGGTTACTCTTTTTATATCATACTCTTTTTATATACACAATTGCAGATAATATGCTTCTCGCTTTACATATCTATTCATCTGCAATTTTCCATTCTTGACACTTGTCTAAAATTGCGCGATGAAGGAATTAAATATCTGATGCATACAAATGATATTTTTGCTTTTATTGCAAAAATAAAGCATGACCATCAGTTTTTTTTTTTAAAAAAAAAACTGCAGATATGCAATGTCTATATATCTTGCCGAAAAAAACTTATATATTTCCAATATGAACTAATGATATTTTTTGTGAGGTAATGGGTGTTTAACACCAAATTGATTCGTCAGTAAATTGGTGTTTGGCCAAGGCCACCAGTATGTTGAATTCCTCTGCCAAGTGAACTCCAGTTCCTACCAACTCAACTCAGATGGTTGCCTCACGTTAAAAATAATGAGCAGATGGCTATCTTAAAGCGATGAAAGAAGCCGAGTTAAATATACATTGTGAAGCCAATCGAACATGAATATACATTGTGTGTTTCGATGTGGTCGAAGGCTGCAGGATACAATAAATCCGGGGTATTTGAACCCATCCAGCCCAACGGGCAGGATTGAGCGTTCTAGCCCTGTAAGGCAATCCGGAGGTATTTGAACTCGTCCAGCCCAACGGGCGGGATTGAGCATTCTAGCCCCGTAAGGAAATCCGGAGGAATTGAACCCGTCCTACCCATAGGGTAGGATTGAGTGTTCTAGCCGCGGAAACAGACACGAGGTATTTGAACCCGTCCAGCCCAAAGGGCAGGATAGAGTGTTCTAGCCCCGTAAGAAAATCTGTCGGATTTGAACCCGTCCTACCCAAAGGGTAGGATTGAGTGTTCTAGCCACGGAAACAGACACGAGGTATTTGAACCCGTCTCGCCCACAGGGCGAGATTGAGAGTTCTAGCCTCGCAACAATGCAGGGGTATTTGAACCCGTCTTGACCAAGGGCAAGATTGCGAGTTCTAGCCCGGCCCAAAACGTCGAGGTATTTGAACCCGTCTTGCCAAAACGAGCAAGATTGCGAGTTTTAGCCCGGCCTACAACGTCGAGGTATTTGAACCCTCTTGCCTACGGGTAAGGTTGCGAGTTCTAGCCCGGCCAACAACGTCGAGGTATTTGAACCCTCTTGCCTACGGGTAAGGTTGCGAGTTCTAGCCCGGCCAACAACGTCGAGGTACTTGAACCCTCTTGCCTACAGGTAAGGTTGCGAGTTCTAGCCGAGGTAAATAATCTTGGAAGATAGGGGAACGCCCTATCATTCTCAAGTTCCTTATGGAAAAAATCAAAATTATTGCTATGAAAGCAACACATCCAACTTTTGACAAGAAATCAGACTTGCGAAATAAAATGAAGAGATCACTGCTATTACATCCCGGCAGCCTGGACAACCAAACTACCGGGCTGGGGGGCAACTGTTATGGACCTGACAAAGGCCCGTATTCTAGAAGGACCAATAAAGGATAGCACAAAAGGAAAGGAATCTCCTATTGATGACAATCATATCCAGAGAGCTAAGCAGTTGGACTTGGGTCCCCAATATTCCTGAGAGGCCCAGAATTACACTCCTTCAGGTAACCCATCTATAAATACAGGGTTAAACCAATAAGGTACACACACTCTCTAACCCTCTCTCTTAGCTTGTCACTGTGCACACACCCCACGCCTTGATCATATCGATTATTATTGTGCACAGTGATCAGCCTACCCTCAAGGGTATCTCATTCATAGATACTCGAGAGAGGGCACCTAGATCCTACATAAATATACCAGCCACCGGTTGGACATCTCTGTCTTTGAGACAGAACAACAGCACTTAGACCACTGCTTATGTCCCTAAAAGGATAGATAAAGAAATAACATTTGCTCTACCAAAAAAAAAAAAAAAAAAAGAAATAACATTCATCGTGCACTTATACTGTTTTACCACTTTTCAGTAGTTAAGAATTGTATATTATTATTATTAGCATCAGAGCAAGGAATTCCGTGATGAGATTCTCAAACTAGGTATTTGGTAGAAAAAAAAATTTACTCGAAAATCACGATTTTCAGGAATATAATCGAAAAATGAGTTTTTCAGAAATGTTACCAATAAATTATTTAATAGGTCAAAATATTTTCAAAAATATTGGGTTAATTTTCTTGATGCTATGTTTGGTTGTATTAAAATTTTCCTTGAGAATCTAAGAATATCACCCCTTAGGTGATATTTTTGGATGGTATTTTCAAAAAAATGTACACACAAAATAAATTTTCGAAAATTTTAAAACTCTCGTAACAAACGAGGATAAATAAAATGAAGAATGATATACTTATCACCAAAAAAGTTTACAACCTTAACAACTAATCTAATAACCGTTGATTTTCGTCAATCTAACGGTTATAATTTATTGAAAATTATTGGGTCGTATTTATTATTTAATTATTAATTCTTAATAAATTATAATCGATAGATTGACGGAAATCAACGGTAATTAAGTTGGTTGTAAATGTGGTAAACTTTTTTGGTGGTAAATATATCCACCAAATAAAATTACTACCTTCAAATTTCCAAAAAATTACAAAAAAAAAAAAAAAAAAAACCTTCTATCAAACACCCCCTATATTTGTTATTAGTAGGGGTGGAAAAGTGGGCGCCCCGCCTCACCCCGCCATCAACCCATCAAAAAATGAACCAGCCCGCCCTGCCCCGCTTTTGAAATTGGGCTGAAAAGCTCAGCCCGCCCCGCCCCGTTTGGCGGGTTGGCCCGCCAGCCTGAGCCTATTTTACACTAACCCGCCTCGGCCTGCCTATGCCCGCCATCAACCCGTCAAAAAATGAGCCTGCCCCGCCTCGCTTTTGAGATGGGTTGAAAAACTCAGCCTGCTCTGTCCCGTTTGGCGGGTTGAACGGGTTGGCCCGTCGATTCGAGCCCGTTTTGCCGGCTCTAGTTATTAGCACTTCAAACGTGAACAACTTTCCAAAAGTAGGACAAAAGTAAAACCCAAAGTGAGTTTTTATTTTTACCTTGGATTTGGATTACCCCATCTATACCCATCATCTAGGATATCAATGTCAGTGCTTGTCTGAACAACTCTGGGTTCGTTCTCTCACTGTTCTACTACCAGCAGTTGATATACCCTCATTTTCACCTTCAATTTTCCTGGAAAAATTAACCATGGAATGAACCACGCAAATGATAATATAGAGAAAGGCCACACACTTGATTAGTGAACCTTAATTATGATGCAAAATGATAAAATAAAAACTTACCATCTTTTGGCATCAGGTTAATCTTCATCAAACTCATCTCCTCCTGATCTACACTTTTGGAAACTCTCTTCAAAATCATCATCCCCTATTGATATTGATGAAACATGTACACACAACCATTATGTCCAGTGCGGAAGCATATGTGAGCGAGCCACAAATAACGACCCTAACAAAAAAATACAGTTCCCACTTCCGATTAAAAAAAGGGTTTTAATTAAATTTTTGAAAGATCACATCTTCAAAGAACTGAAATTTTGTAAAGGGAATAAAAGTTGATTTTTTTTATAAGAGACGAAAGTGAACATCGTATTTTTTATTAGGGACTTAAAATGAGCTTTATTCTGTAAAATAAAATAAGGGTAAAATTGACAAGTTAATTTAATTACTCATAATATGAAACCTGAATTTGGATGGAAAAAAAAAGTTACAGAGGATAAGAAAAAAGCATAAAGATATAAGTGATAAAAAAATAAATTAAGTGAGATTTATGAATTTTTCCTAAAGATAAAAGTAGTAATTATTTTATGAAAATCTTTTTCTCATTTTACCGCAGATTATCCTATTATATTATACTCACATCAATTTTTGTGCAACTTCTTATTCTTTCAAAAAAATTGGTGAACCTGCATTTTTTTGTGTTTGCGAGAACGATGACTCATATGCAGTGAAATGAAGAAACTAATACCCATCGACGCTAAATGAACGAGGGGCCTTTAGCTCGGCTCGTGAAAGTCTGAGTTTACATATTTAAAATTAATTGTTGGCACTATGCCTGAACTTATACAAAAGCTCGTTTAATAAAAAGGTCTCAGGTCTCATTTCAAAAGCTCGGCCTTAGAGCCTCTCAGGCTGGCCTAATATATTATTTTTTATTTATATTTTATATTTTTATATTACTTGTAAATTTGTAATAATCCTCTCTTTCTCCTCAATTTATTTCACCCCATTTTATTGGTTAAACAGACTTTTTGAATAATTTTGTTCTATATTATTTTGTTTGGATATACATTGAATTTATGAATATTTATTGAATTACTAGTGTTGTTGATTATATTTTCTGTTTGGATAATTTTTGTTGTCTTATATATTTTTAAACAGGCTAAATCGGACTTTTATTTTTTATAAATAAGCCAGGTCACTGTCCGATAATTATATTTATAATATGTAACAGGCTTGGTTAGACTGAAACATTTAAACACAGGCTTAACCTTTTAAGACTAAAGCTCGGCCCGGCCCGTTAACACCCTATCCATAATTATATAATGAAAATTGAGTTAAAATTTATCTACATTTACTGTAAAAACGTTAAAGCCATTAATTAATAATAAATTTGACTCATTAAGTTTGACCCAATAAATTATAACTGTTGATTAACTGAAGTCAACGGCTATGATCTAAAATGACACAAGATTATATCCTTTAAAGGATAACCATTTCCACCATCATAAAATAATAAAGAAACTTATATGCAAACACGCGAGTCATGCTTAATAGGCTATAATGATATTCAACTCCATACTTTTTGAATCAATTCGTTAATTGGTTGCACCATACACAATAAAAAAAGTGAGTGCATAAAAAGATTGTAAAAGATAAAAAGTTTAAAAATACATTAAAAAAGAATAGAATTTTTGAAAATAAATAAATAATTCAAATTTCCCTGAATTTCAAGTGTATAGTGGAAATCAAGTAAAGAATTGTCAAGTGCAGACTACAAGTCTTCTTGTTCCTCCTTTGCAAATCAAATCCTTAATTTTCAACAAACACACTACACCCAGAAAAACTCAAACACCCACATGATAATCTTATCCAATTCCAGTGTTAAATTGCCAATTTACTCTTTTGTGACAATCTTCCTTATCCTGAACCATGTAGCCTCTCAGTCTCAGCTGCATGATAAGGAACATGAAGTCCTACTCAAAATAAAGCAATACTTAAAAACCCACCATTTCTAAGTCACTGGAACCCATCAAACACCTCTCACTGCTATTGGCCTGAGATCAACTGCACCAGTGGCTCAGTCACTGGACTAGCTCTTGTCAACGACAACATCACTCAAACATTGCCACCTTTCATATGTGACCTTAAAAATCTCACACATGTTGATTTCAACTTGAATTTCATTGCTGGGGAGTTCCCAACATCTCTCTACAATTGTTCCAAGTTGGAGTACCTTGACCTCTCACAGAACTGCTTTGTTGGTAAGATTCCTAATGACATTGATCGCTTGTCCAGTTTGCAGTATCTTAGTCTTAGTTACAACAACTTCAGTGGTGACATTCCTGTGAGTATTGGAAGGTTAAAGGAACTGAGAGTACTTAGTCTTCAAGATTGTCTATTTGATGGTACTTTCCCTGCTGAGATTGCCAACTTGTCCAATCTTGAAACCTTGGATTTGTCCTTTAACATGATGTTCCTTCCTTTGAGGTTGCCTACTAACTGGACAATGCTGAACAAGTTGAAGGTGTTTTATATGTATGACTGCAACTTGGTTGGGGAAATCCCTGAATCAATTGGACAAATGGTGGCTTTGGAGATATTGGATATATCACAAAACGGTTTAACTGGAAAAATTGGATCAAGTTGTAGCTTTGGGATTTCTAAAGAGTAGCCTTTCTTTTCTGATCATTTGATGTTTCCAATCTTTCACAGTCTGCCTCTAAAATTTCCTTTTTGAAGATTTGGGATCTTTAGAAGTTGAACCAATTCCAGAAATACTTCCAGTCTTCGTGATGCTTGATGAACTGCAGGACCAAGGAGCAACAGCAAAAGAATTATTGAGGAAAACAAAGAGCAAGAAGGGAAAAGGGAAAGATATATATATATATATTATTTTTTTTTGGAAGCAATAACTAACAGTTAGGATCCTGTATTTACAAACACTACAAATAGGGTTAAATATAATACAAACTTATAAACCCAAAACCCAATGCTTAGTAGTGATAAAAGTGAATAAAATAGTTTCTACGAAATTGGTGTTATATGTACCTACTACTCCTCTGGATAGAATTGTTCTTCATTGCTGCAAGATTTTTGACCTCATGACTGAAAGAAATTCAGAAAAAAATTTTAAATTGAAGTCAATATACAGTTGAGTATACAACCTTCAATATGCATGATCATAACACAGAATTATACCAGAATGTTTCCAATCTAATAACAAGATTGCTGTGAAGTAAGCAAGCTTATGGATAAGAGTAGTTTCCTATTGATCAAATCAAAAAGATGGCCTCCCCTCCTAGGGGAAGGTTGCTCAATTTCTTAACTAGATTGAAGTATTGGTAGGACTTGAGATCCTTGGAAGCATCAAATGATCAGAAAAGAAAGGTTACCTCTTTAGAAATTCTATCTTTGCCTTCTTCATTATGTTGCTCTTCACATTTGATACATTGTATGCAGGTCCATTATCTACAACAGATTCACAAAATCTTGATCCAATTTAAAACGTACATAACTAAAGTGCAGTAGTAGAGTGAACTAAACATAAGGAAATCAGAGTTTTACCTGCCCAAAATCTTCTTTTCCTTGAAGGTGGAACTTTGGAGCATATCCTTACTTGCCTACTCTGTTTTCCTACAGAGTTCCAATACTTGGTAACTATTTTAAACTAAGCAGGTGGAAAGAAATGCTACATTGCTATTTGGTGTTAACTATAAGGCTCATCAAATCAAATCAGCAATTAATAGTTACATCATTTTTTTGGATAAAACAAGCATGTTTATTAGGACAAAATAAGTATAAAGAAAGGTAAAAGAAAAGACATTCGCCTTAAACAAAGCATCAAAAGCAAGAAAATCTGAAATAAGCTCCCCCCACCAAAACACCAAAAAAAAAAATAATAATAATAAAAAGAAAAAGAGGCTAGGGGCATACTTGCATCTTCTTTCTGGTAGAGTTTCTTGATTCGGTCAAGTGCTTCGTTCTCAGCCTGAGCCATTTCCTTTACTTTTGCCTGGATAGAATTAGAAGAGGATGTGAGGAAAAACCATGTGACTAATCAGTCCATACAATATAGTTATAATATGTTCAGTAATCATCACTTAATTAGAACTAATCAACAGCTAATACTATTCATTATACATGTACTTAATTCTAACAGCCTGTAAGGATGTTACCTAGTTAGCACTACTAACAATTGATGTTGTTTTTGGGGGAAAAGAAAGAAAGAGAGATTAAATTTAATACTTCCCTTTCATCTAAAATATAACTGAGTCTAAAAGAAAGAACAAAAATGAAAACAACAAACAAATAAAAAAAAAAAAAAACTACCTCATACAACTGCATCCATTTAAATGACACTTTTTTTTCTCTCATCCTCCGAATAACTTCATTAGTGCAATTTGTGCCAAACTGCTTTTCAAAGAACTTTTTCCACAATTTGTCAGTCACAGGACTCAGATCACTTCCCTGCAAAAGCACATCAAGCAAATAAGGTAACCATTTTAGTCTTGTTCTAACTTCATTCATAGTTAACAAAAGCAACAAAGTCCATCTTACTTCACTGGCCTTCTCCACATGCATCAACTGGTCAAGTGTGCAATGGGGCAAGATTCGCTCAAGCAGATGATTATCAACAGAACCAACATTTCCAAGGTACCTTATTTTATCAATCACTTTCTGAACACAAAGGTCAACCAAGGATGGCGGCTCCTTACGCGCAGACACTTGATCTCTTCTCATCATAGTAATACTGAGAACCAAAATAACAATAAAACAACAAAATTTCATTAAAAAAGAAAAATAACCATGAAAAGTAACTAAAAGAAGCTGATATATAATTCCTCTAATTTTCTGTTTCACAGTAAGCTGAGCATGAGATAGTTAAGACCACAATTAATACTAAAATACCATCTCTTTCTTTTTGGAACATGAATAAGTAAATAAAATCACCAAAAAAAATAAAAAATAAAAAACACTCCAAACCAACGATCGACACATAGGTAGCAAATACCGTTGATTTGGTTCAATCTATTCAAAAAAAAAAGGAAAGAAAGAAAGAAAGAAAATTGAACTTGATTACACTAACCTTTTACATTTATTAATTCATAACACTAAATACAGCAGATCGAAAAGGTTCCTTGTTCAGATTTTGGCATTTATCAAGAAAATAAAAATAAAAATAAAAACTTCCTACTACCCCAAATCCCCATTTAAAATCTATCAAAAGGGTAATTTCCAAAATTAAAAAAGTTTCGATTTCCAATAAAAAAATTAAATAAAAACAATCAAATATCATTCAGATCATCAGAACAGGAGATCAATTAATTCAAAACAGATGCATGTCGGGACCGAGAGTTCTTGGCTGTGCTTACAGATTTGATCGAAACGAAGGTGGATCCGAAACAAGGGACAAGAATGTCGGTGAATCGAAGGGAAGCTGAGCCACGAACGAAGCGGAGACAACGAGAAAGAGAGAGTTTGTCCCCTACGGTTGCAAGAGGAGGACGCCTCAGACGCGTGAGTTCACGCGCTTTTCCTTTGGGACTAGAATATGCTAACATGCGCCGTAAGGGACTCTTGTACCAATGTGGAAAGGTCTAAAATTCGAGATAATATTTGAAGCTCCCCGACTTGTGCTCTTGTAAGACAGAAAAAAGTGGAGAGAGAGGGAGAAGAAAAAAGGGTTGGGGGAGCAGTGAAGACCGTTGCACCAATAAATATATGTGCTGGTGGACTGTGCCTCGGTGTTCTTTGACCAAAAAAAAGAAAGAAAAAAAAGGAATGAGTGGTAATTTAAAAAGAAGATAGGGATATAATTATCACAGAGGTTATATTTGTAAACTTTTTGGTTTATAAACTCTTACAAATTACACTATATTCTTTCGGGAGAATACAAATTTTTACAAAATACACTATGTTCTCCCGAAAAAGTATAGTTTAATTTGTAAAAAAATTTGATAACCATATCTTAACTGTTGATTTTCGTCAATCAACGGTTATTATTTTCATAAATCAAACTCATTAATTAATTATTAATTCGCAATAAATGATAACCGTTGATTGACGAAAATCAACAGTTAAAATATGGTAATAACATTATTTGATAATAATAATATCCTATCAAATATTTTATTTTTAGGTTTCATGTTTCTTATATTATAATACATATACGTAAAAGTACGTGGACTTATATGACAATGTAAAAAGAAAAGAAAAGAAAATATAAATTTATACGATATAAAACGTTAAACCCTAATATATTGGGCAAAAAATTGATATATTATATTTTAAAAAAAAATTACGAATTTATGGCAGTTTTAGAAATAATTACACATTTATTGCACAATATCACGCTCAATTTGGGCGTCACCAATAACGTCTAACTTAGGCGTCACTCATTATGTGTTGACACGTGTCACAAACAATTAACAATTTAATCGTAAAACTTCTGGAGGCCATAATTTTTGACTCGGGTATCCGAATCAGGTAATTTTTTTTATTTCATCTAACTTTTCGAGATCTACGCAATGACACCACATTTGACATATCTTATCTCTCACAAACACAATTTGAATTTGCAACAATGAGACTTTATCTTAGAAGTCGAGATTTGAAATTAATGATGACAATTTATACCGATATGAAAATAAGAACTCTTACCTTCATTATTATTCTATTTATATTTAATGATTCATACAAATTATATTACTTATCAATTTTACTGATCTTTTTACTATTTTTATTATGTTCTCTTATTTATTTTTGGGAAAGGTTATAATTACTACATTTTTTTCTTATTACTTGTTACTACTAAATCTTAACCATTAATTTCTGTCAATCTAACGATTATAATTTATTGGGTCATACTTATTAATTAATTATTAATTATTAATTTATTGGGTCACAATCTAATGATTATAGTTAATTAATTAATTATAATTTCCGTTAATCCACTTTAGTACTATTATTAATTTCAGACCACAACTTATAAGATAAAGTCTCATTGTTACAAATTCAAATTATGTTTGTGAGAGATAAAATATGTCAAATGAGGTGTTATTACGTAAATCTTGAAAAGTTATGTGGAATTAAAAAAAAATTACCTGATTCGGATACACGAGTCAAAAGTTATGGCCTTCAGAAGTTTTACGATTAAATTAATTTTTTGTTATACGTGTCAACATATGATAAGTGACGCCTAAATTAGGCGTGATTGCCTCTTGAGTGACGCCTAAGTGAGGCGTGATTGGTGACGTCTAAATTGAACGTGATACTATGTAATAAATGTGTAATTATTTTTAAAACTGTCATAAATTCATAATTTTTTATTTAAAAAATAATAAAATAATTTTTTTTCCTAATATATTGTATCGTAAAGAAAATATGCTTCAGAAAAGAATCACGAAAATAGGCAAAAGCAGGAAGCTTCTTTGAAAGTTCTGTATAGTCAAATCTTCACGTTATCTGTGGGCCTGTAGCCTATATTGACCGTATAAAGTATTTGTAGTGCTAATGCGAAACTAATTAAAAGAATAGCAATTTGATGTGATATCTTTCTAGAATATCATAAAATAACACAATCCATTATGGCCACACGAGGATCGAGGTCAAAGTTTTGTAGCGGTGGATGCAAACTAATCTAATTATAATGGGAAATATTACTCTCCTTTTGCATAAGATTACTTCTCTCCTATTCTCTCACTTCGATTTCCGCACCTCACCTTTTTCTTTTTTTTCTTTTTTCTTGTAATGGTGGGACCCACCCATTTTATCTCTACAACATAAGATACCTATCTTATATTGAAGGAGAATAATAAAACCCAATTATAATTTATACTTAGATTCAAAGTAAAGAATTGGATGGAAATGTTATTAACACTTTAAAAAAATCAATATCTTTTATTATTAAATATAATTTTTGTTAGTCCTATTAATAAAAAAAACAACTCATGTTATTTAATATGATTTACATAAGATTTTATTTAATAATAAAAAATAGAAAAGTGTGTTGAGAAATAGTTGCCGTCTGATTACTCTAGGCTCATTTAAATACTGGAAAAAGAGGATAAACCTTCAAATGTAAATTCAAAGCAAAGAAAGTATCACCAAGTTTGTGGCAAAAAAATTAATTTAAATTTTTTTAATAAAAAATTATGAATTTATGACAATTTAGAATAATTATATATTTATTGTACAATATCACACTTAATTTGGGCATCACCAATCACGCTTAAATTGAGCGTCACTTAAGAGGCAATCACGCCTAATTTAAGCGTCATTCATCAGGTGTTGACACGTGTCACAAAAAATTAACAATTTAATCGTAAAATTTCTGAAGGCCATACCTTTTGATTCGGATATCCGAATCAGGTAATTTTTTCTTTTGAACAACTTGGTAAATTGTTAATTTTATGATTAAATTGTTAATTTTTTGTGAATCGTGTCAACACCTGATGAGTGATGCCTAAATTAGGCGTGATTGCCTCTTGAGTGACGCCCAATTTAGACGTGATTGGTGATGCTCAAATTGAGCGTAATATTGTACAATACATGTGTAATTATTTTCAAAACTGTCATAAATTCATAATTTTTTTATTTAAAAAACAATATATCAATTTTTTTGCCCCGAAGTTGGTAGCCATAACAAGAAGGCTTGGAGTTATAATTTTGGTTTAATACTTAACTTTGTTTTGGTTTCTCCGTAATTCTAATTTGGGACTTTATCATTACTCTTAAATAATACTAATAACAAAGGTTAGTGATTTAATTGGCCATATTCTTTTTTTGCAATATCTTAACAAATCTCTTTATAGTCCCAATCCACGGTCTCTGTGGTCCACAAAAAATAATTGGCATAAGATAGAATATGTAAATTGGAACCTCCAATTTTGAAAAGCTAACCTTTGACTCAACCATTGTTCAATGTTTCGGACATATTCAGTGTGTAAAACTGGTTTTCATACAGGAGTTCCTCTTCATTGAATGACACACAGTGTGTGAACCAGAAAAAACTTAGACAAACAGATGTCAAAATTTACCTTATCATGTGTCAAAATGCCAATCTTCTCTCTTCTCTTGTTCTTCCTCTTTCTCACCAATGCTAACTCTGAGTCTCAGTCTAAGCTGTATGATCAAGAACATGCAGTCCTAATGAAGATAAAGCAATACCTGCAAAACCCATCATTCCTTAGTCACTGGACCCCATCAAAATCTTCACATTGCTCTTGGCCAGAGATCACCTGCACCAATGGATCTATCACTGCACTGGCTATGATCAACACCAACATCACTCAAACATTACCACCTTTCCTATGTGACCTCACAAATCTCACACATGTTGATTTCAACTTTAATTTCATTCCTGGGGAGTTCCCAACATCTCTCTACAATTGTTCCAAGTTGGAGTACCTTGACCTCTCACAGAACTGCTTTGTTGGTAAGATTCCTGATGACATTGACAGCTTGGCTAGCCTGCGTTTTCTTAGCCTTGGTGGCAACAACTTTTCTGGTGATATTCCAGCAAGCATTGGTAGGTTGAAGGAGCTAACAAGTCTTCAACTTTATCAGTGTCCTTTCAATGGTACTTTCCCTGCTAATATTGGCAATTTGTCCAACCTTGAAACCTTTTATATGTTCTCAAACAGCATGCTCCCTCCAACAAAGTTGCCATCAAGCTTGACCCAATTGAACAAATTGAAGGTCTTTCATATGTATGACTCCAACTTGGTTGGGGAAATCCCTGAAAGCATTGGAGAAATGGTAGCATTAGAGGAATTGGATTTATCAGGAAATGGTTTAAGTGGACAAATTCCCAACAGTTTGTTCACACTGAAAAACCTGAACATACTTTTTCTTTACAAAAACAGCCTTTCTGAGGAGATACCTGGAGTGGTTGAAGCATTCAACTTAACAAGCCTCGATCTTTCAGAGAATAATCTCACTGGGAAAATACCAGATGACTTGGGAAAGCTCAAAAAGTTAACTTACTTGAGTTTGTCTATGAATCAATTATCAGGAGAGGTACCAGAAAGCATGGGTAGTCTACCAGCTCTTACTGATTTTGTTGTTTTTCAAAACAATTTATCAGGTACTCTTCCTCTAGACTTTGGTCGGTTCTCAAAGCTTGAAACGTTTCAGGTTGCATCTAATAGTTTCACAGGAAGGCTGCCAGAGAACTTGTGCTATTATGGAGGTTTAATTGGTTTAACTGCTTATGACAATAACTTGAGTGGGGAGTTGCCAGAATCACTAGGAAGATGCAGTAGCCTGCAATATCTGAGAGTTGAAAACAATGAGTTTTCTGGCAACATTCCTAGTGGTCTATGGACATCTATGAACTTGACAGCATTTAAGATAAATCAGAACAAGTTCATTGGTGAGCTTCCTGAAAGATTGTCTTGGAATATTTCATTCTTGGCCATAAGCTACAATCAATTTTCTGGAAGAATTCCAGATGGAGTGGCTTCCTGGAAGAATGTGGTGGTGTTCAATGCCAGTAACAACCACTTCAATGGAAGCATTCCACTGGAGCTAACATCTCTTCCCCAGCTAACAACTCTTCTGCTTGATCAGAACCAGCTCACTGGGCCACTTCCATCAGATATAATATCATGGAAGTCCCTAATAACTCTAAATTTGAGCCACAATCAACTCTCTGGAGAAATCCCTGATGCAATTGGTCGGTTAGCTGCTCTTAATATATTAGACTTGTCAGATAACAAAATCTCTGGCCAAATTCCACCTCAACTAGCCCTTAAAAGACCCACCAATCTCAATCTTTCATTCAATCATTTGTCAGGGAAGATTCCAAGTGAATTAGAAAACCTTGTGTATGCCAGCAGCTTTTTGAACAATTCTGGTCTCTGTGCTGATACCCCAGTATTAAACCTTACCTTGTGCAATTCTGTCCCTCAAAAATCAAGCAAGGTTTCATCATCTTGGTCTCCTGCTATGATCATAAGCGCCGTGGTAGTAGCTTCCTTGCTGGCTTTATTGTCGTCACTCTTGATGATCAGAGTTTACAGAAAAAGAAAGCAAGAAATGAAGAAGTCATGGAAGCTCACTTCTTTTCAGAGGCTGAGTTTCACAAAATCAAGCATTGTGTCCTCAATGTCAGAACATAATATTATTGGCAGTGGTGGATATGGTGCAGTATACCGTGTTGCTGTTGATGGTGGATTAGGCTATGTCGCCGTGAAAAAGATATGGAGTAGCAGAAAGTTAGAGCAGAAGCTTGTGGATTCATTTCTTGCAGAAGTTGAGATACTGAGCAATATTCGTCATAACAACATTGTAAAGTTGCTATGCTGTATCTCCGGTCAGGATTCTCTGCTCCTTGTCTATGAGTATCTGGAAAACCATAGCCTTGATAGATGGCTGCACAAGAAAAGTAAGCCATCAGCTATGTCAGGTTCAGCCCATCATAACCTCCTTGATTGGCCTAAGAGATTGCATATAGCCATTGGAGCTGCTCAAGGTTTATGTTACATGCATCATGATTGTTCACCACCTGTTGTTCATCGAGATGTGAAAACAAGTAACATTCTCTTGGATTCTCAATTCAATGCAAAAGTTGCTGATTTTGGTCTGGCCAGGATGTTGATCAAGCCAGAAGAACTTGCTACCATGTCAGCTGTGGCTGGCACATTTGGCTATATTGCTCCAGGTGAAAACAAGCAACAAATGTATTGCTACAGTTAAATTTTCTGTTTACTTTTTCTTTGGCAAGAAGTTAATGTAATTGTTTATTTCATACATGAATTGCAGAATATGCTCAAACAACAAGAGTCAATGAGAAGATAGATGTCTATAGCTTTGGAGTTATCCTATTGGAATTGACAACTGGAAAAGAAGCTAATCATGGAGATGAATACTCGTCTCTTGCAGAATGGGCGTGGCGCCACATTGAAGTAGGAAGCGATATAGAAGATGTTCTGGATGAAGAAATTAAGGAACCATGTTACTTGGATGAAATGTGCAGCATCTTCAAACTTGGGGTTATTTGCACCACAACACTGCCAGCTAGTAGACCTTCCATGAAGGAAGTCCTGAAAATATTGCTCAGCTGCAACGATCCACTTGCAAATGGAGAGAAGATTGTTGGTTTTTATGATGCTGTTCCACTTCTTAAGAATTCAAAATGGGACAAGTAGGTAGAACATTGATGATGATAGCTAGGTAGTTTGTATCCTAGTTTGTGTATCCTATCTGATAATAATGCAGAAAGGTGACAACCGAACTGAAGGGCTAAGTCTTGAATTCAGAATTGGAGACAATGAAACTCATAGTATAGCTACCGTCTAACTACATAGAGGAGAACATAAGCCAGCTCAGATAAGCTGTAGTTGCGAGTAGAGGATTACAAGTAGTAGAAATGCTTTGCAATTTGCAATTAAGTTCAGTATTATTGAAGAAATAATGGCCTTTTATTTGGGTTGTAAAAGATTTTGGGATTTTCTTTCCATAGTCTCCCAAATATAAACTGAGCATGTAAGATGAGGGACAAATTCAACTGATATCCATTTGTGAAGATAATTGGGTTTTAGTTAAGGGAGAAGAAACAAGAAAGCACTTACTGAACTTGATATGAAAATTAGTCTTTTCAATTACATGACCAACTCAATTTTGGTTAAACAGTCCATTTCTTAGTTAATATAATGTATAGATCCCAACCCTTTAAAAGGAAGGGCGTTTAGGAGAAATCCGTTCAAGTTTGTTCATATAATCTTGTCATGGCCCCATAACAATTGAGGGAGAAGATACTTATACACTGAAGTATAAAAGAATAAGAACGATCCTTAAGTTAAACTCAAACAATGACCCTTAACAAATGAAAATAAGATAAAGTTTGTAGAGTTTAGTTATCAAACTACTTAAATAATGTGGCAATATATACCGATGCTAAACTTTTTACACTCACTGATTGTGCATGCAGATTAATTTATTTTTATTTTTATTTTTGATAAGCCATACAAATTTAATTTAATTTTGTTTCTATAATGCTTCAACACCATTTGGATAAAAATCATATGAAATAAATATCAGTTATACATATTACCGGCAAAAAAATCTTCACAGGAAATGAAGTATAAACTTGTGGATGAATCAGAATGAGTTACCTGATCTTCCAGGCCATTCTGTAAGACAAAACAGTTATGATTTCCGTATTACCTCTCTTTGAGAGGATCCACAAATTCCTGTTGTTTCTCATTCACAAACTCCTTTAGCCTAAAAAATTAGCTAATTATTATCATTGTAATTATGTTGTAAAATAAGTTTGTAATTTTGTCTTCGATTTTCCTATACCAAATGGAGGCAGAAGACAATTTCCACACTCGCGTTTGTGCCCATACAACTTGCCCTGCAAAATAAGCTAACTTTGCCAGTCCTTTTTTATTTATATTTTTTCATTTTTGTTAAAACAAACACAAGGTGTTCTGGAAGTGGTAATGCAAAACCAACTCTTCATTGGTAACTCAGAAAATCTTTGACCTTTGGCAAAACATGTTACATTGGCAAGAGGTGCCTGCTCAAAAGTTTACATTTCCTGTATTATTCCTTAATGTGGGAGAGACAAACACTATAACCAAAACAATGCCCCAGTAATTAGACAAGAAGCAGCAATGTTTTAGCAAGAACACTGAGCCCTATCAATACACACACAGTGACTTGGTCCTCTCTCCGGTTAAGAGCTATGTACAACTAGTAAACCATGGCTTTTCTGCTTCAATCTGTTGATCTATTTGGTGTACAAAAAATTGAAACTATTATTACACTTGTTTACCTTGCCACTAAACACATCTTCAGGACTCATCCACTCCCAAATACAGGGAGTGAGAAGCTGCCAGGAGAGCTGCTCCAATTCCAGAGCCATCACGATTTTGCTCAATGCCAATTGTCTCAAATGCTTCATCTCCTAACAACTCCTTTAGTGTATTCTCGAAGCAAGTTCTGAATGGAATATAGACTTCAAACACTCCTCCATCCAATGCTATTACTGATTTTTGTTTCTCCCCAGCCTTAATTGTGTCTCTTCCTATTTTCTTGAGGATGCCTAAAATACCAGCAGCAGTAAGGCGGGCCCCTCGAATAGCAACAATATCACAGAGTTTCACAGCAATCTTCCTCATTTTTAGGGATGTGTTATGGATCTGACAAAAAAGGAAAGAAATGAAAAAACCTAACCACTTTCTTTTGGGGAGGACACATCCTTAATATAATCTGTATTAATTTATTTATAATGAAAGATCACAAAAAATAGATTCATCAAAATTTACTGCCATATATATCTAATTCAAGAAAAACAATTAACAAGATGATATAAACGTGTGAACCAACAATCATATTTATATTCGACATGGTGAGAAAAACATCTTTACCTCTAATAAATCCCTCAATTTGTTTTCAACCACCTTCAGATCTGAAGACGTATCATGATGCATAACATACATGTCATGTGTCCTATACATCCCATAAAAAAAGTGAAAACTCTGAAAACTCCAATACAAAGAAAATAAATGGATAAAAAAAAATCAATGAAAATAGTGGCTTACGATGCAGATTTATACAACTCAAATTAGGTCAACACAGGTGATATGGTGTAAATATGATCACCCACAAGTTTGATTAGCATATAAGCAACTTTCTAGGTTGTTAGAATTTTGTATAATTGTCCTAAGTTACCCTACCCTATCAATTTTTTAAATTTGCTTACACATCCAAAAAAAGACTGATTAGGAGGCAACGAAAATGAGAAGTGATCACGGTTTGTATGCTTGCTTGGTAACAAGTGAGAGGGATGAAAAACTTTCCAATCATACCATCTCTCACAATCTCTACCCTGCATAAAAATCACAAAATCCACCTTTCTCCATTTTCACTCTTTCTCTAGTATCCCACCCTTCTTACTAACTACCAAGCATACCCCAAAAGAGGCAATGATAACCCAATTTGGTACAGCAGCATTCTTGTGCTGATAGCAAGTTTTGAAACGAAGGGGAAAAAAAATTGTGTCAATGGTGTGGCCACCAATTAACAACAGCAATGATTTTTAAGCTAAGTGTAAAGAACCAATTCAACCCAACAAAGCTTAAGTTATTGGGTGAGGCTACATTATTGATTTTATATATCTCTAATATGCCTCCTTACACGAGAGTCCATTGGGTGGATGATTCATCAGACCTAGCCTACCTGTTAAGAAACTCCACAAGATTTAATTAATTATTAATTAAATGGGAGGCGGTGAGGATCGAACCCGTGACACCGAGGCTCAGATACAAATCAATTCAACCCAAAAGCTTAAGCTGTTAGGTGAGGCTACATTAATGATTTTATATATATCTAACATCAAGCAATGATACTAAAATGGAATAAGTGAAGAATTCCAAACAGAGCATGCATCGTAGCTTGCCCAATGTAATAATTAAAGCAATTAATAAGCATGCTAGAGTTTCTGAATCATTGTTGACCAGATAGATATACAAGAAAATTCCAAAAGAAGGCCAGATAGAAAATAAAAAAAGAATAGTCCACAAAAAATTAGCGTATGTTTGGTTGGATGACATATCATACTTGAGTATGAATGGAATTCTCAGCTTGGGAGGAACAGTATCTCCAAAGAAGTCAGCTTCTTCAGCCATCTTCAATAACGCTCTCCTTACAATGTCCCCCAAATACATACCAGAAATTATCTTCTCAAAAATCTACGAATAGTTGAAGTGTTAGGATTGTTGGAATATCTCAACATATATGTAAATAGGACATTCCTAACTAGTTTGGGATAAAGGTGTTGCTAATGTTGATGTTGATATGTAAATAGGACATTATTTATTTACAAAAGAATCAATTCGGATCATGAATATAAGGAAGGAAATTATTGTAATTATTTCCCACACTAAGATATATAGAGCTATGTGAGGTCTGATTAGGATACACAGAATTCGCTCAATGTACAGAAATCAAGGAGAAGAGTATTACATATGCACTCATTTAGACCGAAGGTAGATGTTCATTACCTGTTCTCCAGGGTTTAAGCTCTCCGCATCTAGAGCTTGATCATATTCTGTCAGAGGAAGATCAGATGAACAAAAATTACCCCACTCCATGTTTATAACCTATAAAGTTAGTAAATTATTTGCACGATTTGACACTCAACTGATTAATACCTGCCTCTGGAATCATGTTAAACACAGTTCTATTGCACAAGAAAAGTGTCATAATCTACTTACCATCTCTCCTGATTTTGGTAGAAGACCATACCATTTTGGAATTGTATGTGCACGCTCTACATATGCTGCATTTGTCCCTGTACCAACAATTACTGCAGCAATGACATCCTGATTGCTGAATTTGCCTCTAGCCACTGTTCCAACGGTATCATTAACCTAGACCACGTCACCAAGTTAGGTTTTGTTTCCAGTTTAAGATATTAAGTAGCCAAGAAATTTAGAGAAAATAGAAATTGGGACTAACTAGAGCAGCAACACGCATATCCAGGCCAATTTTCTCCATCGCCTTGTTTAGTTTACCCACTACATCTTCTCCAACCTACAGACAACCCAAACAGAATCCACGAAGAAGTAAACTTCAGAATACCATGCTCAATTAAAGAGTAGCTAAGAACTGAAGAGAAAACCAGTAGAAAAGAGTTCTCTCTTAGAAAAGAGTTTATTTGATACATTTGTGAACCATAATAAGTGTAAGAATATCCAGAAGATATCATATAATATTAAGATTATATCTTCAAATAATTTACGGTATCCTAGAATCTCTTAGAAATAGTTTCCATATATTTTCTATTTTATGATTTGTTTCCTTATTTTAGCAATCTCTAATTTTGTATATATAGGGTTCGTTACTTTGTCTTTAACATCACTTCATATCACATCATTATAGAATATTATTCAGTCTTTATTCCTTCTTTCTTTTTCTTACCTAAATCCCTATAATTTCAACAATAGGTTAGCATTGTAACTTCTGGAATAAAAAAATTTGATACAACAACTCCTGTGGTAGAGTATGTGCTGAAAGAGACAGTTACTCATGCATCAATATGGATTATGCATCATAATCATGATCAACTCAAATGACAACAAGAAAGAATGGCAATGCAAATAAAATTGAATATAACAGAATCAAGGTAACAAGAATTACCACATCCTCAATATGGAAACCCTTAGTCCACTTTATTAGAGTCCCGGATGTTAATGATGTTTGACGCACTGGAAAAGAGAAGGTAAAACCCAGTTCTCTTTGTCCGCCAGGGGGAGGATGAAACTCTGAAGGTTCGGAACTAACAAACTTTGCAAGAGATGTTGCTATAAAATCAAATAAGTCCTGTAATAACATAATCAACATATTTCAGAGTTTGTGCAGGCTCAATGCTTTGATAGATTTTCTCATAACAGACTTACATTTGAAGAACCAGTCATTAACTCAGGAGGAATTTGAGTTTTTACAGACTCTATCCTAACAACACCTTTCTCTTTTCCACCTAACAACACACGAAGGGAGCGGAAGTTCATGCCACCAAGGTCCAATGCATAAAAGAGTCCTTTCTCATCTCTATAAATATTGCAACAAAGTGAAGAATGAAACAAGAAAAAAAACCTTTATGAATTACAAGTTCAATGCTATGTAATTATTTTTTATCAATTGAAATACAATGTCATACTTAATCATTCAAATTTTCTCTTTCTGAATCTAGTGTTTAGATTCTTCAGAACACAATAGAAACAATCAAATGCTTAAGGAGTAAACTGTCATCATCTAGTGTGACAGAAACATCAATAAGTGGAAGTTGTTATCAACAAAGAATTGTTGTAAGGTTGGTGAAAAAAAAAAAAAAAAAAAAGTCAGACGACCCAAAATTCAAAGAAAAAACTGAAGTCAACTAGAAATTCACTGATCTTGTAAAATAAAAACACTAAAACATAATTGTGCAGGGTAAAATTAAAAGAAAAACATGACCCAAAATTGAATAATAGATAAATTTAAATTCTTAAGAAGAAGGTGATTGAAACTATATCCAAATCACCAAAAGAAAAAGAAAAAACACAAACATTTGAGTGATACTGATATTGGAATATAGAGAGAAAAGAGACAAACCCAGTTGGAAGATTGTCAACATAGCTCATTAACATCTTGAGTTTGCTACCACCTTCAGATTCAAGACCTGCATGCATCTCAACCTCCATGGCATGAGCAACTTGCCTCAGCTTCTCAATTGGGGTCTCACACTGTTCTTCAAACTCCTTCACCATAGCCACCACACGAACCCACTTCTCCGAGCTTCTCATGCGGTGGCGCACCACCAGCGCCGCCGCAGCACACGCCGCCGCCGTGCAAACAACCGCAGCAGCTCCCACCGCAATCTTCCCCATCACAACTCAGTCACTCACTGAAACGACAAAAACCTTCCAAAGACACAAACTTTTGGGTCAGTGGAGAAAATCCCAAGTTGCTTTAAGCGAATCTTAATCGAAACCTCTCTGTCTTTCTAAATTCCAATATTGTGATTTATACGCCACGGTCAAAATATTCAACCCAGAGAGAGGGAAGAAAATTTTAAAATAATATAAAAAAAAATAAAATACTGTTTGAGAGGAAGTTTGGTGATAATTAAATCATGTGTATATTGGGATTTGTTTAAGAAATAATTGTTGTGATATATAGTCTCACTTGTATGTGCAACTAATGGGCAAAAAAATTAAAATATTGTATTTAAATAAAATAATTACGCATTTAATGTTGTTTCGTAAAAAATTACACATCTATTGCACAATGTGACGCCAGTTTTGGGCGTCACATGTGATGCCCAAAACTGGCGTCACATGTGTGCTCTATATATTTCCTCACCCCCTCCATTCAATTCACACCTCTTCTCTCTCACTCTTCATATCTTTCTTCTCCACCAACATTCCTTTATCTTTAATTTAGTATTTGAATTTTAGTTGTAATTCTATTTAAAAATGAGTTCAAATCCTGATTCTGTTCGTGTTGTGTTATATTACAATGGTAGGAAGGTAGAAGGTCGACGAGGTGTCATATTCGAAGGTGAAAAAAGGCCGACACGTATCCAACGCAACACAACCATTGGCGAATTGCATCAGAGAATTCGGCAGAAGTTAAGTCTTCAAGACAACCAATGTATCACTGAGATCACGACAAGGGTGTGGCAAGGTGATAAATACATTAGTTTGAAAGTGCTTGACGATGAAGACTTGGAGATGACAATGGAAGAATTTTGCAACCAGTCAAGGAAAGATTTTCTAGAGTTGTATGTCGACATCGTTGCAACGGAGAATGCTCGCATACCGGTGAGGTCAGTTTATTTAAATTCTCCCCGTCTTCTAGCTTCTCCTGCCGCTCATGCGTCTCCAGTTGGTATCTTTTCTGAGGGAGATGAAAATGATCCGACTTGGGAAATGCACGACGAAGATGACGATGATGACGATGAAAATATGGCAATGGAAGAACATCTTCTGGCGGAGGATGCTAGTGCTTCAGAAGGAGATGAATCTCGTGAGATGGGTGCGTCTGAAATTCCAATATTCCATCAACCAGTCGTCGCGCAAATGCCGCAGTTGAATGACGTTGCGTCTGCTCCGTTTGGTATTCCACAAGAAGGTAATTGTTCCCATTTGTATACTGCATGAATAAATAACTGATTTAATGTTGCCTGAATTAGTAGTAAGTTCGTATTAAAAAATTATAACCCGCAATTGCAGGTGACACAGATGTTATTCCTTTTTGGGAAGGAATTCTGCATTATTCTTACATTGATTGGAGTTATCAGAGCGAACAAGAATCATGTACTGATGGTTCGGTGTCTGGATCGGCTTCAATACAAGGTCTGTGGCAACTGGGTGACATGTTATTTGTCAATCAAGAATTTGCGACAAAAAAAGATGTCCAAATGGCACTTAAGCACAACCTTATTAGGGAGCATCAAGAAGCCATTGTAATTGAGAGCACGCCTGCAAAGTTGTCCATGAAATGTTGTGCGTACGATCAAGGTTGTCCGTGGCGCGTAAGGGCGATCAAACCGGTGTTTCGTGAAAATTGGAAAATAACGAGATGGGGTGGAAAACACGAATGTGTGAATGAGCACATTTCCCAGGTTCATAGACAGCTTGATGCGGACGTTATTGCAGATCTCGTGATAGGTACCTTTTTGTATTTTAAATGTGTGATTGACCACAAATGTGTAATTAAATTCGTTCGATGTTATCGAGGCACTGATATCCTCTTCAATGCAGGGATGATAAAGTCCGAACCATCTGTGTCAATCTCTTTGGTGCAAGAAAGGATAACTGCTAAATATGGCTTTCAAGTTTCGTACAGAAAGGCGTGGTATGCGAAGCAGAAAGCGATGGCAATTCTGTACGATGATTGGGAGGAATCGTATGCTTTTTTACCAAGGTGGTGCGAATACATGCTTCGCTTTTCTCCAGGTTCATTTTATCATATACAAACTAATGATCTTTATGCCGAGCAAAGCTTAGTTTCTGGAAAAAAGGTTTTTCATCGCATTTTTTGGACGTTTAGACAGTGTTGTGAGGCGTTCAAATTTGCCAAACCCGTCATCCAAATTGATGGAACACATTTATATGGAAAGTACAAAGGGAAATTGTTGGTGGCAACAACCCAAGATGGTAATAATGAATGTTTACCGATCGCATTTGCCATCGTAGAAGGCGAAACTTTGGAAGCATGGAATTATTTTCTCGTTAATATTCGTGCTCATGTGACTACGATGTCAAACATATGTTTAATATCCGATCGGCATCGAAGCATAATATCTGCTGTGGAAAATAACCCTACTTGGCAGCCGCCAAATGCGTATCACGTATTCTGTATTTGTCATATTGCAAGCAACTTCAATCAAAAGTTTCGAAATGAAGATTTGAAGCGGATGTTAAAGAATTTAGGTATACTCATTGACTGAATGCTTTATTATTTCTTTCCATTATGACTGTCAATTTATGTTTAATTCATTTATGTCCAATTTGTGCAGGTTATACTCCAGCAATGGTTGATTTTGAAAGGAGTCTTGCGAGTTTCCGTGAAAGTAGTCCTCAAATTGCTGAGTGGATAGATGTGATTCCTAAGGAAAAGTGGTCGCGTGCCTACGATATTGAAGGACGGAGGTACGGTCATATGACAACAAATTTGGCTGAATCTGTCAATAGGGTTTTGAAGGGGGCCAGAAATATGCCTATAACAGCATTGGTTAAGCATACATATAGCAGATTGGTTGCATATTTTGTTGAGAGAGGAACAAATGCTCTTGCACAACTTCAATCATCTCATCGTCACTCCAAACATGTTGTTGAATTGGTCAAGAAGAACCAGGTAGATGCAACAGGCCACCACGTTCGTGCATACAATGTTGAACATACTGTATTCGAGGTTGACGCAGGTTGGGAACGTTCATATTCTGTCAACCTCCCACAGAGATACTGTCAGTGTGGAAAGTTTAAGGCCTTTAAGTATCCATGTAGTCACGCTGTTGTTGTTGCGTTAAGTGTTAGGCAGAGTGCGTTCACTTACGTTGACGACGTCTTCTTGATAAATAACTTGGTCGAGGCTTATTCTTTTCCGTGGGAGCCAATCGGAAACGAGGAAGCAATACCTGAAATTAGTGGTGCAAAGATTATTCCTGATTGTACTATGTTGCGTGCAAAAGGTCGGGAGCTTACGTCTCCAGTTCTCTTCAACCTTCCCCCGTAGAGTATGATCATGTATTCCTCTCAATTTTCTAGATTTTTCTGGGATGGGTTGATTAAGACCAAACTGTCGCATGCACCTATCCGGTTGACATGCCTCAACTGTGTGGAAGTAGATAATAAGTGTGGGAGCTAGCCACAGATACTGCTGCTCTGGAGTCACGTCAAGCCACTCATATTATATATACGGCTGCCACACCACCTACAAACAAAATGTGAAACAATATATAGAGTTACAAAAAAAAAAAACACATAGACAAATAACAACACCGTACGTATCTAACACCAAACCTCATCTCTACAGAGTGTGTCCAATGTTGCCCGATAATGGGTGACCTCATGAGGTTTAAACTTTTGTACAACATTAAACCTGTCAATCAAAAACATTATCAACCATACATAATCGTCCAAAGTCAAGAAGTATACAGTTAGTACATACAGTATTAACCATACATTATCGAAATCAAATGAAGTAAATAAATCATACCGGCATCCATAATGTGTGCCCGGCTGTGGATGAGGAGGAAGGGGTGGAGCAATGGGTGGGAATCGTATCCATGCCCAAATTTGAAGGAGAATATGGCAACCACCCATGTCGCTTCGACGGGCATCTGTCACTTCACACAAATTCCTGAACAAGTGTGTCAAAACTGCAGATCCCCAGCTGAATCGGCCAATGTCCTCAAATCCTCCACCTAGCAACGGGACAAGCCGACAACCAAAATTGCTACCTCCAGACTTTTCCGCCAGCAACCAAGTCCCCAACATCCGCGCAATGTGAGCTTTTGTGAAGTAGATCTCGGCAGCATGATTCCCTTCATGATCAGTCCACCGGGTATAATGTCGATCCAAGAATGAGATGCGGAGGTCGCCAGAATGATGGAACTCACCGGCCTCTGGAACATGTCCAAAAACACCAGCACAAGCAGCGTGCCAATCCTCAGAGGTTGATCCGATGACGACAGTACCGTCGGTCGGCAAGCCCAAGATGCCTGCCACATCTTGTAAGGTGATCGTCATCTCACCTTGGGTCATGTGAAAGGTATGTGTCTCTGGTCTCCACCTCTCGACCAGAGCACTAATTAAAAATGTATCTATCTGTGATAAATTACGCAGTTATCACGTGTTAACGAATTACATTATTTAATTACATAAATACAAAACGACATAAATAACATACCTGGATATGTTGCATCCTGGCAACATGTATGAAACCCGCCTGTCTGAGGTACTTTTCCACAACCTGTGGAATAGCACCGGTAGGTGGGCCCCCTTGTGGCTTCCCACGCCTCGTCTTAATCTTTCTTACATGCTCAGTATTCCACACACGCTGTGAAATATGACCTTTCTGCGTCCTCTGACGAAGGACCTCCCACCTGTAGGGTCCAGGTATGATCCACATGCTGGGATCGGTGGGCTCTACATCCGAATCAGATCCCGAAGAAGATGATGACTCAACCATTATCCTTAACTAACTACAAAGTTATGCACTCCCGCATTAATAACATCATACATACGAAATTTACAAAGTCTCTAACACTATTTATAAATCACTAATTAATATGCTAAACCCTAATACATAATTAAAAATCAGTAATAATAATAACTACGTAATAATAATATTACTATATCATTACAACATTCATAGCATGACACAAAATTTCTAAGTGACTATCCTAATGTTCCAAGTCTCTAATATACAATCAATCCTAACATGTATTACTAACTAGCACTGTAATTTAAATGTGTACATATGAGGTATTATGACCTTACCTACGTTGGCAGAGCTTCGCTACGAACCGCGGTTAGAGAGAGGTTAGAGAGGTAAATGAGTAAGGAGTGAAAAAAGGAAAGTGGGGTATATATAGGTTGCACATGAGACGCCCTCTTTGGGCGTCACATGTGACGCCCCACTGGGGCGTCTTCTCTAGGAGAGAGACGCCTCACTGGGGCGTCACATGTGACGTCCAAAGAGGGCGTCTCATTGTGCAACAGATGTGTAATTTTTAACAAAACAGCATTAAATGCGTAATTATTTTAATTAATTACATTATTTTAATTTTTTGCCGCAACTAATGTGGAGTTTATAAGGTCTTAGTCACTCTAACATTTTGAGGTAGTTTCTGGGGTAGTGTATCTCAAAAATTGAGCCTTGTGCAATATCCACGTTTCTAGCCCAATAGGCTCTCGTGTGAGGGGGCGTGTTGAGATATATAGTCCCACATTGGTTGTATGTGCAACTAATGTTGCCTTTATAAGGCCTTGGTCACTCCCATCATTTGAGCTAGCTTTTGAGGTGGTGTATCCCAAAGTTCTTTACAATAATCACTACTATAAAAATAAAAAAGTTGGTTTCTGTGATGTTGTTACTAAAAGGAATTTAAAGCCTTAGTCTCGGAACTCGTCATCGGATTAATTGCGAAGCAATAAGCCGACTGAAATATTTTTAAAAAAAAAATATAAGTTGATGGAATAATGATTATTGTTAGAAATATAAAATTCTTTCACCCAAAGCTTAATATTTTGATAAGAGTTGCTTGCATATGCAAATTGGAAGTATTGAAAAGATTATTGCTTTTTTTTTTTGGTTGGGTTTTCTTTCCGTAGTCTCCCAAATACAAACAAAGCTATTAAGTAACATGACGAAAAAAATTCAGCTAATATCCATTGGTGAAGATTATTGGGTTTTAATTGAAGTGAGAAGAAACAATAATGCCCTTAATGAAAATTAGTATTTTCTTTTTTTGATATATACCAACAAATATATGAAATCCTAATGCATTCTTGGGGAGGGGCTGAACCTTTAGCCATCACTGTTCCCCCGCACTCCGGATTAGTCCCATAGCCGACTCAAAGAGTCGAAGCTCGTGGGGATACCGGAGGGAGCCAACTCGTCTCAAAGAGATAATTAGGGTTGGGTAACTCCAAAAAAAAAAAAAAAGAATTCATTATTTTCAACAAATAAAATCCTCAAATCTAATTGGATCGTCACTAAACCAACAACTCACATAAAATTCTTAGATGTAACTGAATTGCTACTCAACCAACAACTCTTGCATAAAATTAGTCTTTCCAATAACGCGATCAACACAATCATTTTTAGTTAATCAATTATATCGATCCCAATCCTTTGAAAGCAAATAGGGCCTTAAGTAATAATTCCTTTCAAGTTTGTTTACATAATCTCTTCAAAGCCCCCAAAATTGATTGAGGGAGAAGATACTTATACATAAAAGTAATTATATAAGAATTAAAATGAACCTAAGTCAAAACTCAAATGGTCTTTAATAAATGACAAAATAATATACAAATTTTGTAAAGCTTAGTTTTCTAACTTTCTTAAAAAATGCGACAAGTCATTAGGTATAGAACTTGTTTCCATTCATCATGCATACAAATTCAATTTTTGTTTCTTTAATGCTCCGACACCGTTTTGATTTTAAAAAAAAAATGAAAAAATATCAGTAAAATGTCCACAAACAGTAACAGTGGTAAAATTGCTCTCACACCAAAATGTCATGAATTTAAATTCAAAAAATAATCTCTTTACAAATATATAAAAATAAATCCGAATATAAGGATTAGTCTCAACCACCCAACTTTCGCTTCAAACAAACTTTATAGGGAATGAAGTATTAACATGTGGATGTGTCAGTTGTATATTGAGTTACATGGTCTTCCAAACAGTGTTTTAAAATCCGGCTCGGACCGGCCGGGTCGACCCGGGACTCGGTGACCCGGTGGGTTCCCCGGTCCGAGCGGGTAGTTGGACCGGTTATGCAGTCAACCCGGATTGGACCGGTTGACCCGGCCGAAACCCGGCGACTCGGCGACCCGGTTGACTCGGGTTAAACCGGTTTCCCCTTTTTTTTTTGGTAAATTTTTTTTTTTGTTGATAAGAACTCTTGAATTAAATCATATTCATATTTTATGATGAATATGATTAAAAGTAAGGTGAAAATAATAAGGTATTTTAGATTAGTGTAGTTCGTTTATGTAATTTAGTTGCATCTTATAATATCTCATGAAGTTAAGTGGTGATAAACACTGATGGTCTCATGATCTCATCTCAACGGTGGACACTTTTTTCTTATAGTGTATATTTCATGCATACTATTTGTTATCATGATTTAATTTATCCGTATCATGTCAAGCACAAAAAGTGCATTTAACTTATATTGCATGGTTTAATCCAATATTAGGATACGGTCTAGAGCTAGAAGCTTAGAAGTATATAATATTTGCTATCATTGAAAATCAATTTATTTCTTGAAGCTCATTGATAGTTTTCTTATATGAATTTTTATTAATATAAGTAATATTTTTATATTTTTAATATGTGAACAGTAAAATCAGTCAACCCGGGTGAACCCGGTTGAACCAGTGACCCAGTACCTCGACCGGTTCGATGACCGATCCGAGTTTTAAAACACTGCTTCCAAACCATTCTGTAAGACAAAAAGTTATGTTTTTCATATTACCTCTCTTTGGGGATCCCCAAATCTCTGTTATTTCTCATTCACAAATGCCCTTAGCCTAAAAAAATAGTTAATTATTATTATTTTTGTACAATATGCTCCTAATTTTGTATTTGATTTTCCTATACCAAGTAGAGGCAGAAGACAATATCCAAACTCGTGTGTTCGTACCCACACAACCTGCCACAAAAATTATGCTACATTTTGCTAGTCCATTTATGTTTATATTTAAGGTTCGTTTTTTCTGCAGTTATTGTAGATAAGTTATCTATAGTAAGTTCAATACGACGTCGTTTTTGGGCAGAAATCATGTGATTTTTGTAATTTTAATTTATTTCAGGATTATAATAGTCTTTATATTTATAATTTTTTAAGATTACAATACCAAAACGACGTCGTTTTAGGAATAAATGCAGAGTACTTATCTGCATTAACTGCAGAGACATTTTTCCCTTATATTTATGGGATATATTTTTCTTATGTTGTAGAAAAAAAGTTATCTTATATTGTAGAAATAAAAGTATAAGTGGGACCCACAAGTAAGAGGAGAGAGAAAAAAGAGTGGTGGCACCTAGCCCCTTTTTTTGTGTGTAGGAAAGTTGTTTATCTCATGTAAAATGAGATAAAAATAACCCTATATGGGGAAAGTGTGTATAATTTTGAAGGACATAAAATTATGTCATTTTAAGTGAAAGAAAGAGATAAATCATGTGAGAGAGAATGAGTGAATTTTTTTTTAAAGATGAGTCTCACCTCTTTGTGAGAGTGAAAGGATATAAGATGTGTCATTTTAAATGACACATCTTTTTCCCTTATTTATTTCTGTTAAAACAAAATACAAGGTGTTCTGGAAGTGGTAATCACTCTTCAAATGATCAGCTTCGCTGAGTTCACATAGGACAACCAAAATATATAATGAACAAAATAAACTCTTCATTCATAACTCAGAAAAGTTTTGAATTGATATCTTTGACCTTTGTCAATAAATTAAAGGCTTTAATATTTCTTTTTTTTTTTTTTTTTTTTTTGGAAATAATAGGAAATTAAAACAAAAACACAACAAAAAGAAACTAGGCACAAAGCCTAGACCAGTGAACACCTATAGTGTCACCATACAGACTATCAATACAACCTGACGGTGGACAATCAAATTCCTGAATTACCCAAGAGAAACCATAAGAGTAAGAGGCTAGAAAGTCCGCTACTCTATTTCCTTCACGGTGAATGTGAGACATATAAATCTGCCAATCTCGCTGCATCAAATTTCGAATACGATTCACCAAATTAGCCGCAGGGTAATCATGGTGGCACCCATTTGTAATGAGCTGTTGAGCTGAAAGAGAATCTCCTTCGAGCCAAACTTGCCTAAAACCTCTATCCCAAGCTAGCTCCAAACCAACCAAGCAAGCCCATAACTCAGCATGCAAAACTGTACCTGAGCCTAAATTTTTACAGAATCCGACGATCCAAGTTCCTGAGGCATCGCGAAAAACTCCTCCACACCCAGTCCTAGTACCATTAGCATCACATGCACCATCAACA